CCACCCCCACCCAAAAAAAAAATTGACATTATTCAAAACTTCACAACAACAGTGCAAGAAATACTCGATATTAAAAAAAAACACTGGAACCAAGATTATTGACCTATGATAATCCCCAAAAAAAAGAAACATAAATGTATGGTGATGAGTGACTGTGTTGCAAAATACATTATTTCATAACAGTATTCCTTTGAAAACACCCATCGCCATTCTGTGANTTTTTTCACACAATTTTAAAGACAACAAGTGTTATTTGCACATAATACTGCAAAGCTATGCACGAAACGTCCTGCTTATTGCAATTTGCACAAGAAAATTCCCAGAGATATTTTAGACACTGGAATATAAGGGACCAAGTGCTGTGAATCATCTCTCTCCACTTGACAGGATCCCCATCATTAACTGCAAAACTTTCTGGTTCCCATTTTCTTCCCAACTTGCTTTTTATATATAAAAAAAACAAGTTGCCACAAGACCCAAGAAGTTTTCCAATCGATCCAAATTATCTGGGGAGGGGGGGTGGGGGGGAGGTTGCTTTTTTTCTCTCTGCAGTCTATTGCAGTCTATCTAAAACAAAAAAAAATACTAGCACTCCTGGACTTGACAACAGAAACAGAAAGCAAAACATCACACCCCGAAGGTCCAACGCTTTTGGTACGAGGAAGTATAAAAGCGAAAGGCTTTTTCTTTCGTCCATTAACAGATCAATACTCCTCGTCAGCATTTGCGAACAGATCGAGCCATAAAGTAATGCAACAACGTCCCATTGGACTCTCATCTCTCGTTTGCAATGCATCAGATTCTGTAATAGTTTGACACCAGGCTGTCACTCAATTGCTGGACCACAGTTTCTGCTTAAAATAAAAGAAACTTTAAAAAAAAACAACTACGTTGCAAACTTTTCACCCTCCCCCCACCCCCACCCCACCCTACAAAAAAAAACATGAACAACACACAATTACCATTTTGTGCAATGTAGTGGTTCCTAAGCAGTTTATATATTTTTTTACACACACACACACATGCAATAAAGAGACGCCACTGGCTGTGAGGTGCTCTTTAATCTGTTTAACTTGTGTACTGTAATATATTAGTGCAATAGCAAGAGATAGGAATGGTTTAGTGGCTGTCACTCGATTGAGCACCATGGCAACTTGGTGTGTGTGTGTTTTGGAGAGAGGAAAGCTGAGCACAGCCAGAGCTGAGAGCTGGGGTCTCTGTGGGCTGGAGAAGTGTCCAGGGGAGAGTCCACCAGCTGAGAGCAACCTTCCCTGGAGTGCAAATACCAACTCTTACCGTCTCCAAAAGCTCCTCTGCTTCACTGCACCACTGGGAGCCTTGGCGTTTGCAGTGGAATCAAACCCTTTCCCCATTGGCATCTCTTGCTGTTCAGGGGCAGCTCTCCCCCCCCCCCCACCCCATCGCCTGTCAGTGGTTTATGTGTTAAAATGTTATCTCTTGTATTGGAGAGGGGTGTGTGTGTGTGTGGGGGGGGGGAGACCGTGTCCAAATTGCACACTTGTAGTTGCAAATGTACTTCGGTTCGCTAAACAAAACAGAAGCAAATTTGATGGGAGGAAAAAAAAGGTGATAAAGGGGCAAAGGAGTGTTTAGTTCTCTGTCTCTTCCCTTTGCTGTGGAACACTCTTTTTTTCTCTCTCTCTCTCCCTCTCTTCCTTAGGGATTGATGTTCACCAACTCGTGATTGCAGAGAGGACATGTGGTGCCTTTCAGCCTGAACAGGTGTGTGTGTGTGTGTGTCTCCACCACAAAAACTCACCCCCAAGAACTTTGCTCAAAGTTCCCAAAACTGCTTTGCCTCCAAATCTTTTACCCATCCTGATCCAGGGCAGATTTGTATCCCAAACCTAGTTTTTGCTGCGAATTATCTGAATGAACGTACAGTCTGTTAGTGGTATTTTGTTTCAGATTTCCGGCATCTGCAGTATTTGGCGTTTTTTTTTCAAAAAAAAAGTACACTAACGGTGTTGACTTGAGTTAAAGCGAAATACTTGTTGTCGCATCACTCGCCAACAATGTGGTTCTTCCCACTGTTAAACGTTTAGTGGGTTTTCGTATTATTAATTTGCAAATCTCACCTGTAAATGTGCATTGAATCGTATCAAATAAATATATCAAATGTCCTATAATTTCAGCAGATGTGATTTGGGGCGTATTTGAAAATAACAGCGAGATTTCTGCTTGTTCGACTTTTGACAAGAAAATAAAAACACGAATCGTCCCATCCAACACTGTTGGTCACTGCAGCAGTCGGTCCCGTCTGAACAAATTCTCCACAGTTCGATTCCCTGCCAAATCCCAGAGGATTCAGAGAGCTCCCATCGGAATGTTGTTCCACCCAGACCCCCACTCACAAAATCATCAACATCACCACTCACTCGAGGTTTGGAAAATAAGGTGAAACCTTATACATTGAAGAGCTAACCCCCCCCCCCCCCCCCCCACCCCAACCCCACACCTCCACCCCCCCCAAAAAAAAAAAAGTTGGGTTCTTTTTGTGGTCCTGGAAAAAAAAACATTGTTCCAAAAAAAAAAGGTCACCGAATCTGCACAGGATGACCAGTTGACCAACAAAGGTAGTTGCCTCAATGCACGACTGAAAGAAATTGCATCTCCTTTTTGTGGTCGACGTGTCCTCTGGTTCGACTAAAGTTAGAAGCAGCACAACTGGAATATTCAGTGTGAAGCTCATGCAAAAGTAACTTTGAACGCTCCGAGACGTCCATCCCGAGGTGGAAGACACTCTGACAAATAAAACTTTTGACACGGGTGGAACTTATTGGTCGCACTTGTCGTCTTTCAGGTTTCGAAATGCTTCCATTTGAAATACAAAAGTGTGCAAAAAACACACACACACACCCACACACACACACACACCCACACACACCCACACACAGAGAGAGAGAGAGAGAGAGAGAGAGTCCAGCCTTGAAACGCAGGCAAGAAAAGCCATAAAAGAACTACAAAGACGACTTCAGCATATTTTAATTAAATATAAAAATTCATCTCACTCTGTCTTGGCACTCGTCGCAAATGAATGCAACATCAGAACGATAAGATCGGCTGATTTTCGTAAACCCCAATTCATTCAAATTGATTGCATTGACATTAAACCGTCGAACTGTACAACAGCAAAGGTTTGTTCCATTTGGGTGGTTTTTTTTTCTTTTAAAGTCATCGTTGAGCACTTGTACAAATAGTTTGTTCAGTTTATTATAAATAATCCAAGGATATGTTCGCACTCCCTGCGTCTTGTAATATATATTTGCTTGCATGGTTTATCCTGGCATCGCCCATGGACGCGAAAGGACTTTTAATTACTCTTTTGGTAATACAGTACTCCTTTAAAGTGAACTCTCCAAATGTTTCTGTTCATCGATTGAACCAAACGTTTCCATGAAACCTGCACCTTTATAGAAACGTATCCCCCCCCCCCAATAAACATCTATGTGAAAAAAAAATCCCACAACAGCCACACAAGAGAAATATTAGGAATAAACACACCTCTATGAAATAAAAATTAAATACTGACAATCTATCAGTGATACACAATTTAACCAAAATAAACTTTTTGTTCCTGTATCAACATATTTTACAGAGGTATCCCATCCGTACCTTGTTTTGTTTTTTTTAAGCGTTCGAAGCACAAGCGTTCATTTCAAGTACGGGCGGAAATGTAGAATACATAATTTATATCTTTTGATCTAAAACAAATGGACATCTAAGTAGAATAGAACAAAGTCAGCTAGAGTTATCCAGTACTTTTTTTCCCCCCCTCTCTCTCTCTCTCTCTCTCTCTCCCTCTCTCTCTGTCTCCTCTCTTGTTGTAAGGACGATAACATAGTTCGGATGAAACAATTCTAAAATGAAAACTCCTTTCCCGTTGTTAATAAGTCGTTACGAAAGCACTGACTGTAGTGTTCGTCCCCCAGACGTGGAACAGATAAGCAGCAGTGTGTGCTCTCTCTCTCTCTCTCTTTCTCTTTCTCTCATTTTAAGATGAATCAAGAAGTGCTGGATCCAGAAGTGCAATTCTGACTTAACAGACATAAGCGTCATTGACAATGGTATAAATACATGCAAGTGGACGTCTTCGTTGTCTCGTGTGATTGTTCACTGTTGAGTCAGTCCAGTATATAATAAATGTGTCACCCATAAATGGATCTGAAATCCTCTCCCCCCCCCCACCCCTCCCCTCCCTCACCCACTCAGTATAATTCAAATCCAATGGTTTATGGACAGACATCGGACGAGTCGAGGGATTTCCATACGTTTTTCTCTTGTACTAATAGGAGAACCAGCCCCTGGTGTATCAAATACCTCTTGTGCTAAAATGAAATCGCAGAGATGTTCAGGTTGTCTCACTTGTGAACCATTTCCAGCTGCGTTGCGCCTCTTTCCTAAGTTATGTTTGGTTTTCTCTGAGAGGGAGGGTTGGGTTTTGCCCGTGGGAGAGTGTGTGGGTGTGTGTTTGAGTGTGTGGGTGAATGTGTGAGTGAGTGAGTGAGTGGGAGAGTGAGTGGGTAAATGTGTGAGAGTGGGAGAGTGTGTGGGTGAGTGTGTGGGTGAGTGAGTAGGTGAGTGTGTGGGTGAGTGAGTGAGTGAATGGGAGAGTGTGTGGGTGAGTGTGTGGGTAAGTGTGTGAGTGAGTGGGAGAGTGTGTGGGTGAGTGAGTGGGTGAGTGAGTGGGTGAGTGAGTGGGTGAGTGGGTGAGTGTGTGGGTGAGTGTGTGAGTGAGTGGGAGAGTGAGTGGGAGAGTGTGTGGGTGAGTGGGAGAGTGAGTGGGAGAGTGTGTGGGTGAGTGGGTGAGTGAGTGGGAGAGTGTGTGGGAGAGTGTGTGGGAGAGTGTGTGGGAGAGTGTGTGAATGTGTGGGTGAGTGTGTGGGTGAGTGGGTGAGTGAGTGTGTGTGTGAGTGAGTGAGTGAGTGGGAGAGTGTGTGTGTGAGTGAGTGGGAGAGTGTGTGGGTGAGTGTGTGGGTGAGTGAGTGTGTGAGTGGGTGGGTTTTTCTTTCTCTGTGGTTGGTTGGTTTCTGCTTGAAACCGGTTGGAAGTGGGGCTCGGATGTCTCTTTCTCTCTCTCTCTCTCTCTCTGTGTTGGGATCACAGCCCCAATGCAGCGGCGTGTTTTTTGGCCTTGAGTCTCAAGTCTGCGATGCTGGAGTTTTTGCTGGTGGTCTTGGCTGCGGCCGCCGCCGCCACCACCGTGGCCGACTCCGCCAAGGTGGCCAGAGGGAGGCCGAAGTGCGGGGGTGGGAACATCATGTAGGGCGCATGGGCTGCCAGGTGTGGGTGCAGGTGATGGTGAGCGTGGGCCACGCTGTCCAACTGCAGCTGCGCCTGGACTTGGAAGGAGAGCGGTGGCATGTTGGAGTGGACATCCTGCAAACACACAACCCGGGGTGGGGGGAGGGGGAGGGATGGGAACAAGGTCAGCAAAAAAAAAAAGAAAAGCATCAGCACCACGTTTGCGACTTAGAAATGCTCTGGCCAGCTACATCATCATCATCATCATCATCCTTTGCAAAACAACGAGCAAGCTGTACAGATATATAGTGTATGATATGAAGGTATAATATAATTACATATATCATATGTGTAGCCATGTAGTAGGGAGATGCAAGACTTTACCTTCACAAATGTATGGATAGTTAACACATAAATCATGCTTAGGACCAGATATTTTGTCAGTGACCCTGGATGGGTGTGTAGGAGGAGATAATGCATTGAATGTATAGCGACCCAGAGCTTCATGCTATACATATAGACTGTCTCTTAACAATTCCAGGAATAGGACTATGTTAAAAGTATTTTTTTTTAAAAAAAACGAAAATGTGTGTTGAGGGAAGATGCAAGAGGCTAAAATGCCATGAAACCATTGACCCTTTCCCACGATTTAGTTGCATAAGTAAAACAGAATTGGAGACCCTCTCCATTGTAACATGGTCATCGTTTCTTTGCTGAGAGGTTATGTGGCCAGGACAAGTGTGGAGGCACCAGCTACCAAAACCCATCAACTGCTCTCCATTTATTCCCAAGAATGTTGGAGACTTCCTATTTCACGACTGCTGGCGTCCCCCCATCGGTTAAGATCTTCCTCTGGAGGTTGACATAGCTATCCATTGCTTCCCACTGTGCACCGAGTTATTCCTCATCGTGCAGAAGATCAAAAGGGGGGAAATTCACTTCGAGCATAAATATTGCAGAGAAAACGTTGACGTTTCACGACCACTCAAGCACTCCACTTTACACGTGACCCCTGCAAGAGGTCTTTGGAACTCAGCTATGGATTGAAAGGGTATTTTAAAACTTTCCTGGAAGTGTCTCATTACATTTATATTATATTCCTAGAAGCGTCTCAGAGAAGAGAGCACCACACGCTGCCATGAGACTTGTGTCTGCTAAACAAAGGCAAAATGAGCAAAACAATTGAACAGCTGGTAATTTGGTAAAATATCAGGGCTTCGAAACAGACCCCCGACCTCTGCCAATGCCCTCTATTGAGCTCATGGACAGAATGAAGTCCACGAATAGTCCATGTATTTCCTATTTCTCCTATACATGGATCGACATCAGTCATAGTATTAATATGAGAGCGATATTTATTTCTCCTTTTCCTACAATTCGTATTTTTTTAAAAAACAATACTGGGAGGTTGCAGGGGGTGGGGGGTGGGGTGGGGGGAGGTGGCAAGAACACTAACCCACACCGCCCCAAGGAGAACTGTAACGGATTATGCCCATGTCCAGATGCCCTGACTTCAGTTCGCAGAGTAATCCAATGGGGGCCAGAGATTAGATAAAGAGAATGAGGCAAATTCAATGAAAAGGTCCAATAACAGTTGCAATGACATGGGGAAGATAGTGTTGACGTGACTAGAAATAATGTACAACAGATGCAAAGAGAATCAATTTGGGCTCAGATTCATCAACAGTCCAGAATTCCTCCAATTGTAAATGGGCATAAATCCATGGGATGATGAACCACTGAATCATAAGGACCATGAACGTCCCAGGTTCCATCTCTGCTCTGTGTGGAGTTAACCGATAGTATAATTAGTCTTAGAGCAAATTGGCTGGATGGATAACCAAACAAAACATAACTTTTATCTGTCATTGATCTCCATTGGAAAGTACGTCCGACTGGGATTAGTTTGAACGTGGCTGTGCAAACTGGAACAGTTTATCAACAGTGATTGGCTGGACTTCCACCCAAAGAATTCCCACTTTGGCGAAGTTGTACTTCTGCTGATTTACACCACTGGAGCAATGCGATTTGCAGCCGTAGCTATTGAGCTGAAATCTGAAAAGTCTACGACCGACTTAATTGCTCTTGCTCAAAGCTAAAGAGATCTCAACCCATGAATAACATTCGCAGAGCTAAGCAGAAAAAAAAAGGATCAGGTGCCAATTAATTGTCAGTTGCTAAAAAGGCAAAAGTGCCACTGGCTTGAGAGTAACACGAGGGGGTCTGGATGAACCACTCTGGAAGTTTTTTTTTTAAAAAAAAGTTTCAAAAGTTCATTTGGAATTGGTTGGACTAAAACTGGAGTACTGTTGCTCGAACCCCCCCCAAAAAATCATGCCATTGGGGGGTATTTTCGGGAGCAGGGCTAAAACATTGAGTCGCACCAGTTAATAAATAAGGACACTTTTTTGTTGTTGTTGTTGTTTTTGATTCGAGGCAACCACACACTTGGAAATGGCAATAACTGTGGCATTAAAAAAAAAAGTCCCTCGAGCACATAAAATGTACACAGGGCCACGACGCTTTACAAACTTTAAAAGTTTTAATATTTTTAATTGCAATCATCGAAAATACGATAGTGGTGGAAACTGCAATATTTTGAATTACTTAGGACATTGTACTGGAAAACGTTGGCAAAACTCTGATCAAACTATTCAATTTAATACACTATACGTAGGCGATAAGGTCGTGATATATCGTGGGAGTAGAAAGCTTTACAAGTCAGACATGGCACAGAGTAATTTACAGGGAAAGCAGAATTCCCAATATACCGACCATGGTTGGATGAAAATCGAGTCAGTGTTGGCTGGTTCGTCAGTTAGTTGGTGGGTGTTACCCAGAACCAACTACAGCTGGAGGGGGGGGGGTTTAAATATAAAAAAAAATTAGCTTTCACTTTCTTTAAAAACGAATATCTTCCGAATACCCTTTTTTTTAAAAAAAAGCCAATCTCGATTGGTTATCACTGCTTTTCCAGTTTGTTACACAACTTTTTTTTTAGGGGGGGGGGTGTTATTTCAATATCAAGAAAACACAGTTAGTTGAGTTCATTAGGAATCCACGTGATCCAAATTACGATTGATTCCCCCTCTCTCTGTATAATGTTTTCTCAGCGTTTTATTCAAGTGTGAGGGTTAAGGGCGCACAGTGCCTTCTCAATTTGATAGGAACAGTTGGTATTTCGACCCAGTCGTTTTCAAAACAGTGGGGTTATTTAAGAAGCATTTGTGTGAAAGGGTTTGATTTCATTATATACTCGCTAACAGGTATTTTTACATCAATTACTCCATAATAGAGTAACACTTGCCTGTTGAAATGGCATCCTCAATGTTCCCACGTTAACGTATGGAGCAACTCGACAAGCCTCGAACTGATTTGCTGCTCCAATGAGTACTCCTGCAAACAGTTTTCACATTTAGGATTTTTTTTTCATTGCAATACCAATAACAAAGACTATTATAATAACAACAACTCAGCTTCGCCAGGAGCCTCCCGCCCCAGGTTTAATTAATTACGCGTTGTTTGCGGTGATGAATAAACTCAAAATGTACTCGATTTAGTTCGGTTTCCCCTGCAAAAGGCACTTCCCAGTGTAAGGCTTTGCAATTACAGTAAGCATTGCGTGTGTAAAGTCAGCAGCGCCTTCGTCCGGGTCTCAGCGAGCATCCAAATGTTCTCCAAAAAATAAATAAACCCACGTACCTTTATGAAGTTGATTCTCCTGCTTTCGGCATTTCGCTCTTCTGTTCTGAAACCATACCTACAGGGCAAGAAGGGAAGGCATTTAATGGCAAATGACTGACAGCTTCATCTCAGATGCACGGATTGGACTGTTCAAATCGACAACTATGCGAGGCAATATCCCGTCAGAATTAATTATTAATGCGATTGACCTCGTTTATTTTAATTATCTGACTCTTGCATGTACAATGCTTAGCAATCTCTTTGGGCAAAGAGAGATGGGGGCGGGGGGGTGGGGGGTTGGGGGGAATGCTGCAGACAACACTTCTCATGTTCCCATCTCTCCAATTTGTTTTTCTTTTTAAAAAAAATTTTTTTTAAAAAAAGAAAAACACATCTTGGTGTTATTTTTCGACTCAGTGACCATCACAGAAGTACCAGATTCACTCCAATGATATCTATTACCACAGCGGTAATGGCACTGACGTCTGAGCAATGAGCTCCAATAAAGCCTCTGCTCATTAGCAGGACTGGACAAGAAACCAACCCCATCTGCATGCAGAAATTTATGTCGACACAAAACCAGATACTTGCTGACAAGCTTCGTACAATGCTATATTTTTTTTTACAGAAATCTGATAATTATTCCTTTGTTGATTTTAGCAAGGCAACATTATGCTCACAACGACGCAGATTAAAACCCATACAATAAATAGCGCATTAATATGTTAAGCTGCTCTCCGATTCTCAGTTGAAAGTCTGGTGTTCAATTATGCATGTGGTATATCAGGATCATTTTTTGTCTGCAAGTGGCATCACATGAGCAAGTTTTTTTTTTTTTCTTTTCTCCCCCAGATACATATTCTGGCAGCAGCAGCAGCAAAAAAAAAAAAAAAAAAACTTTGGAACATTTGGGGGGATTTCGAAAACAAATTTACTTTCCCCTCAAACGACAAGGACAGCGAGGCGTTTTGCTCAAAACCCAGCGAAGAGGTATTATTGACAAACCTGCCATTTGTTTTAAACCTGCGGATTAAAATGATGAACAAAAAAAATCAGATGTTTCTGATGCATGTAAAAAACAGAGGGGTTTTTTGTGTGTCTGTGTGTGTGGGAAGGAAGGGGGAAAACACTTTCCAAATATTTCTCATTCAATTGAATACTGAAAAGTGCATTTTTTTTTATTAGTTAATAAAACTCCAATCGAATCCGTAACTGGGGATTCTTTGGGTGGGATGGAGGGGGTGGGCTTAAAAGTTCACAAATTCTCGTTTTAAAAAGGTGCAATTTCTACGGTGATGTTTCGTCTCTCGGTTTTTTTTTTAAAAAAAGATGAAATAGAATCACTTGGATCTCAGAGCAACGCAGCACTACTACACCTAAAACCGTGTCTCCTAAACGGTCCAGTTCGTTGGAGCTGAAGTGCATCGATTTTAATGTAACTAACCATGGCTTTCGTTGAACGGGACTGTTTTTTAAAGGACTGAAGCACTTGAAAGATAATGCTATCGACAAATGACTGTAATAGTTCTAATATTATATATAGATCAATATATATATAGATAGATAGATAGATAGATAAGTAGGTAGATATATTAGACAGATATCAATATGGCTTGAGAGAAAAATTGACGATATACACCAGATATGGAGGACATGGAGCTTTGAATGAGTTCTGGAGATATAGATTAATAAACTCTATAGATATCTCAGGAGCAAACAATCTCGATCCACCTACGGTTAGCAAAGGGGCTCTTTGTTGGTGCCTTTTCTCTCTCTCTCTCTCTCTCTCTCTCCACTATCTTATTATTTCCGATGGGAATACTGAGATATAATTTATGAAAAAACAAATCACTCTGTAACGTTCACGGGGTGAACCACAATAAGAGGCTGCCATAAAAAAAAAAGAAGTTTATGATAAGGCGCGCACTGAATTTAAAAAAAATGGCCCTTTTATGTATTTTTTATGCGATAAACTCTCTTCTCTCTCTCTCTCTTTTTTTTTTGCGCCAGTTCTTATTTGATGTTTTTTTTTTTGTTTTTTGGGGGGGGGAGGAATCTGGTCGATTTGTTCAGGTCAAGTTGCTGCTAAGTTTACCTCGTTATCGTATTACAAGATGGAAAGCCCCCCCTAAGAATACTATATAGCTTGATGCAGATGGCCTGTAACAGAGGGCGCTTTGCTGTAAGCTATTTCCCAGTAGATGGTTGCAGCTGCCACTCGCCCCATCAACCACAACTTCTCCCAAACTTCCAGTAAATTAAATATGAGTTCTTACAGCACACATCGAATGCGTTTAGCACAGCCTCACCCATTTGAAGGCCGACATTTGAACCGTCGCCGATGGATGCCGAGTAAGTAAGTAAGTAATGGTGTTTGCGCGAAGCTTTGCTGCTGGTGCAGATAACGCTATTTCATCTGTGTGCCCCGTGTGCGCTGAGCAGCGCCAACACTTTGATTTAGATGCCTTCAGTAAATGTCAGTGATCCCAAGCCCGAGCAGTAGGGGCCCACAACTCCAGTAAAAAAATATTGAAGTCAGTCGTATCAGGATATTGAAACTTTTATATATATATATATATTATATGTAGAGAGAGAGAAATATAAAATATATACAGCAGCCTCACCTAATGAAATTTGCCACGTTACACTATACCAGATGGGTATGACCAGGGAACAATTGTCTTACTTGTACTCTGGCTTCTGAGAGCCCCAGTCTCTGACTGAGCTCTTCCCTCATAAAAGCGTCAGGATAGTGGGTCTCATCGAACAGTCTCTCCAGCTCATTGAGCTGCTCTAATGTGAAGTTAGTCCGACTTCGACGCTGTTTGATTTTGGTCTGCGTTTCCTCTTCCATTGGTTTGGCGTCTTCTTTCCTTTCTTTAATGTCACCATTTCCTGTAAAACAAAATAAGCACGACATACACAGACACACAGACAGACACAGACACACAGACAGACACAGACACACAGACACACAGACACACAGAGACACAGACACACAGACAGACACAGACACACAGACAGACACAGACACACAGACAGACACAGACACACACAGACACACACAGACACACAGACACACACAGACACACAGACACACAGACAGACACAGACACACAGACAGACACAGACACAGACACAGACAGACACAGACACACAGACACACAGACAGACACAGACACACAGACAGACACAGACACACACAGACAGACACACAGACAAACACAGACACACACACACACACACACAGTTTTGAGTAAATTCAGGCTCTGGGTATATATAATTATCGACACAATATGAATCTATTGAAACTGCGCAAAAGCATCTAAGGCTGGGAAGCTGACAACCAGAAAGAAAGCATCGAAAGCACTGCGAGTGACACTCGTCCTTTTACATAAAATACGTGGGTTTGATTTTAAACAAAAGTCGGATGTTTTTTTCTTTTTGCCTTTTTCTCAAAAGTACCCACGACTCTGATCATTGTCAACAGAGTGGCTTCAATCCGTAAAATGCCCCTCAATCTTCATGGTCCGACACCTGCTTGTTCACTGAGATTTTCTGTGAACATTGCATGTTTTGCCTCATTGCCGCCTTTCAACCCTCATGTCATGTAAAGTAATGTAATAATCATAAATATGTTCGATCGTGATGCTTCCAGGCTGATTGCTTCCCAATCTGGATAGGCGGCATCTTTAAATATTAAAGCTGTGTACACATCCCAAACTGAAAATCTCCCCAGTAAATCCGTCGTCGCATCGTACAAAAGAAAACACGTTTTAATTAAAACATTTCAATATTCCAAGCTGATGATATTTGCAATTCCCATTGCATCTGATCTGATCCGACTCGTGTGTGTGTGTCCTTTTCTGTGCAACCATAACAAAACTCGCCTCGCTCTTACTATCCACATCTGTCAAATAATGTGCTCTAACGTGTGTTAATATAACAAAGGACCAAGTTTGAATAGGTACAAGTCTTTGTATTTATCAATTATATGTTGCACTGNTTTTTTGTTGTTGGAAGTATTTCCTTCCCAACAGCTAAAACGTTGCAAACGACCCGACTGTAAGGTTTTTTTTCAAAAAAAAATCAGACCAATTTTACGCTGAAAAAAAAATCTATACAAACCGAACTGTAAAATACGAGGCGTTCATTCTAATCTTAATCAATGATACAATGGACCGATTAACCACTTTTGACACATACATATACAGCGTTTCACCGCCTTTGATAGTTTGGAACGAGACATTTGAAATGAGAAGAGGTTGATCAGAAAGACCACTTTATTTTATTATTATTATTTTCGTCAGTTTTCTTGTCCTACTGGCTCCAATGATTATTTTCCAATCCCCCCAAATTAACATTTTGGCAAAGTAAAATGTGACGTGTTTGTGTTTATAATGCCACACGGATGTGGAACAAAAACACTGTGCGATATGATGGTGAATATTGCACCTCAGTCAGTGCCTGAAGCTCTGTAGAAATATCCCTGACTGTTGTCTTATTATTTTAATCATCGTGAACAACAGTCGTGTGTTTTTCATCCAATCACTGTTTTTTTTCACAGGACAACATCTGTCAAATACATGTGTATATCTATTATAGAAGTATGATATATAATACACATATATATCACAGATACACGTGTATTTATATTATGTACACACATCCATGACACATAAACGACACCAGGCATTATAAGCAATGTTAATGCACGCGAAAGCTTTTGCACATTACCGCTTTGAAACGGTTGAGTTCTGCATTACTGCAAAGAGAGATGAAGGAGGGGGGGGGGGGGGGGGGGGGGGGGGGGGGGGGGGGGGGGGAATCTTATTTGGCACCCACCTAAACACTGATTGGAAACGTTAGCCCTCTCTCCGAACATTCAATGAAAATTATTGCTTCAAAAAAAAACCCACCCAATCATTCGGTTTGAGAGAATACCCATTTTTCCCCAATCGTAAATTAACTTATCCAAGAAAATATGATATTGAAATGAATCTAAACGGTGTCCAATTGGTAGTTGCATTGTTTGCCACCACGTTTAGAAAATCTGTTCCTTTTAGCCTCGATTTAAGGGCCAGTATTTTATATATAGCATAAAAGGCTATAAAGTAGTGGGAAGCATTTGTTTTGTTGATTCATTGGACTTCATGAATCGCGTCCTGTGTTAAAGTAACGGTATTGGTTTATCAAAACATTTCCGGAATCTTCTGAATCGTATTGAGAGCTGAGCGAAGGGTAAATAATAATAAAAAAAAACTTATTTGAACAGCGACTACTGTAAACACATCAACAAGATCGGTTCCGTCAGTGTCAACCAGCGATCATCACTGAACATCTGGTAAAAAGCGAATGAGCAGAAACACTTCTGTGACAATTCATGTGGACAACACTCGATGGTATGGGTTGAAAAACCTGGACCAACAAGAGGGGGGGGGGGGGGGGTCAGGGATCTCAAACCCCCCCAAAAAAAATCCAGCAGTTAGGGATAAGTTTTACACAATAATTGACATTTGAATACACTTCACACTTCTACTCCTGGCGTTTTGAGTCACTCTATCGCTGTACCATTCTCCCCAATTCTCTCATCACTGCACAACTTTCACTTAAGACCTTTTTTTTGTGGGGTGGGGGGAGGAGGGGGAGGAGGGGGAGGGGGGGGGGTAGTGGGTTGGGAAATCGAGAGATAATTGATTCCATGAGAATTAGACACATCCCTTCCTTCCTCTATTGCGGTTTAGGGTTTACTGTAACACGAGTTAACACTAAAAAAAAAGGGACGTGGAGTTCGATGAACACAGCAATAACGTCCTGCACATTCATCCTAAATACATAGGTCAATCCCTTTCAACTTTTTTTTCCTTCAAACCAAAAGACTGGGCATGTGTCGAGAGAGAGAGAGAGAGAGAGATGAAGATAGATAGAGAGAGAGAGAGAGAGGGATGGAGAGAGAGAAAGAAAGAAAGAAAGAAAAAAGGCGAGAGGTGAAATCTTTCCTTTTCTTGCAATATTTGAACGTGGAGAGAAAACAGAGAGAGAGAGAGAGAGAGAAATATATACACACACACACACACTCACACACACACATATATATATATAATACATGAAGGAGCTCCATCTGGAAGTGTCGCTCAGTCAGGATTGTGATGATGGGTAGGGGATGGGGAGACAGACAGACAGGAGGTGCTTTACCCGGATCGGCCAGTTTCGGAGTCCCGCTGTCCCCAGGTCTCTCTGGCCCGGTCTCTGGCTCTGTGCTCGGGCATCGAGAGGACCCTCGCTGTGCGCCGTTCACTTCATCCCGATTGCCTTCGCCCATACACGGCTCTCGGGCTCGCACAGGCCCGCTCTCCAGAACTTCTCTGTACGTGATCCCCTCTTTCTTTTCCTTCACCTTTTGATCGAAAGACTTGGAAACAAAAGCTGTAAGTTCTTCCATCGCTGTTCTGAGCAATATGTATGTCCTTGTCTCCTTTTTTTTTTCTCTCTCTCTCTCTCTCTCTCCCTCCCTCCCCTCCCCTCCCTCCCTCCCCTCCCCCCCCCCCCCACCCCCACCACTCTTCTCTTATTCTCTCCAATACATCAGATGAACCGTGCAATATTTTCTTCCCTCTGTCTCTGATGCGTCGCCTTGAGTTGCAAAAAAAAAAAAAAAAAAAAATGCAAACGTGATCTTCCTCAATCCGGCTTGCAGGAAGATGTAGATCTAATACTGATGTGCTATTGAAGTCAGACTATTTATACTTTGCAATGCTTGCCCAGCTGCGCCCTTGTACTCACCAATTACCTCCCTTGTACTCTTGATGTGTACCCACTCCTGGAACACAGTTATCATGCGCCCCTGGGCTGTAGCTCATACCTAGCGGCTGCTATTGGCCATTAATCCACGACTGACAAGGATTCGTAATTAATTTAATTAGCGAGTATTACTGCTATTGTTATTACTTAGCTAAACACGGGGGAGCTGGGATGGCACTGGGGTGTGGCCAAAACAGAATGACACCAAGTGGAGCGCACTGACTGGATGGTCCCTGGGATCCAGGGATATTAAAAAAAAACACGCACACGCACCCCCACCCCCACACACCCCCACACACACACACACACCAAAACACGCTCACACCAGGTAAAACTTTTCATTTGTTTCAGGGGAAATCACAACTGACAAAACTGCCCACACCAGTGTTTTTTTTTTGTTGTTTTTTTTTTTGCAGGACTTTATTTTTGCACACACACGCGCACGAAGACATCTTGCACAATTCTGCTTGAAAATCCGCTTCGTTGTAAATTATAAAAGGCAACCCGACCCGTGCGTGTTATTTTATGTGCCCTTCCCCCCCCCCCCATTTTTTTTTTAATATAAAAAAATATATCTGGGTCCCCTGGACGTGTCAATTGACTCACAGGTCGCTTGTTTACTGGTTTATTTTAAGTGGGTACATGTATTAGTTGCAATTATGCACCAGGGCCAAATTTGGTCATGTTTTGTGTCAGGTAACAAGGCTTTCTGATCCCACATAACACTCCCAATTACAAACATTTTGTGATTTGCACGATTGCTGCTCAAGACATTGCGGTGGGGTGTCCTTCCAGGTGCGTTGGAAACCTTCGACACAATAAACAGCACATGGACAAACATTCTTGACTGATGTGTTTGATGTGGATTTTTTTTTTTTGAGAGAGAGAGAGAGAGAACCACAGACCTCGAAATACGTGTCTTCCTTCTTGTGGTTGAGGCGCGATGGATGTCCAACAGACCCGACAATTTGAGTGGAAGCGCTTCATATGTCGATGTTTTATGCAATACTCATAGTTTCTGCACACATCAGTACTCATAGTTTCTGCACACATCAGTACTCATAGTTTCTGCACACATCAATACTCATAGTTTCTGCACACATCATCCGGCGGCTCCTCGACCGAGTGGCGAACGAATCCCAACCAATTCCTCTCGTCTTCGTCGGACGCGCAACGCACTTTCCAATGCATAACTTTAAAAATCCAACCTTTTTTTTTTCTCTCTCTTTTGACTTTTTTTGGGGGGGGGAAAAAAAATAGGTGAAATGCGTTTGACGAAGTTTTCGTACGAAACGACTTCTGCAGATCCCTTTTTTTGTTGTTGTTGGTGTTGTTGCTCATGGCCTTGGGAATGGTGCCCGTGTTTTAGTGAACCTTCAGTAATTTAATCTGTACTGTTAGAAACGTCATGAAGTCGGCAACGACTTCATTACCCGTTGAAAGATGAACACTTTGCACAGTTTATCTGTTTATCCAGTAAGATAATTGCACCACTTAAATTCTGTTTCATTTGGATCGATTCGTGTACGTTGCGTCGCTTTGTTCATCAAATTAACATTTGTGGGTATGTAAAACTGGTCCCTGGCAGGAAATACATTGAATTGTCACAGACCTAAATTAGATTTTTTTTTTGGGTGGGGGTGTGAGGGGTGGGGGAGGTCACCTCCCAATTATATTTCCTGAGTTGCAAACATACAAGTTCTATTCTAGATGATTTGAATTAATATTCTAGTGCATTTTGGAAGAGAGATGCGTTAATTTAAAGGTAATCTCTGTTTCCCATTCCCTTCTCCCACCCCACCCTCCAAAAAAAAAAGAGATATGATAAATTTCGCAGACAATTTTAATTAATAAGAAAACTACTTGAGGGAAAGAGCGATTAATCCCTAATTATATTAACTTTCATGTGGAGATTAATCGTTTTAATATGGCATGTTTGAAAATGTAGCTGCATAAATACACGTGAGAGTTTAATGTGATACAGCACACGTCATAAAATATCTATTCGACCCATTTCGGATTATTTGGTACAACTCCTCCTTTTTAAAAGAAAAATAATTGATTAAAAAGTTGCCAAGCGGTGAAACCGTTAAATAATCAATACGTTAATTCCAGTTTGGCTTCAGAACTTTGCAGAAAACCGAAACACAAATACTGTGCAGTGGATATTATTTCACGACATATTTTTGAATTGCAATTCATTTCCACTGGCGCACTATGCAGTGCAACTGATTTAAATCACAACACTGCAGTTGTGGAGCAATCGTCCTTTGCACAGTGCCAACCAGCAATCGTGAATATTAAAAAAAAAAGAATATTATTCGACAATAAGTTCACATTAAAGACTCACAGATAGTATCACGACAATCGTGTGCATCCGAATCATAAGTTCTGGTGTGGGTGACAGGCTGGTTTAAACCACACCAAAGTTGTGGTGGTATTTTCGGAACATACACAACAAGATAAGAGGTGTTTTCCTTGAGTTAAGTTATTGCTCACGGGAGCCCTGAAGCGGATTGCACTGCAGATATTTAGGGCAATAGTTCGACGCAACTGAACCAAGTTTTGAAAATCATAGATTGGCATTTGTTGTGCACACACGTTGACTGTTTTTTTTTGTTGAAAACTATTAATGGAAGGCATTTAACCAGCGGATAGCCCGACAGCCCCTGTGTTTAATGCAGAAGCTAAAAGGCTTTCTTTTTGGGACGGTAAAAGGTGCGTCAGGTGCAGCACAGAATCATTCTTCTTGTCCTTTACTTTTTTTTTTATCGATTCAAGTTTGCACCGACGCAGGGGATTTACAGACTGCATTTGTTTTCGGATGTGTGTTTAGAAGTTGTTGAGCCGACACTGTCACACATTAAACTGCAAAAAAAAAAGGGAGGGTTGGGGTTCCGTCGCAACGAGCAATTTTCTGAGCGAGAATCCCACGTTCCACTTGTCTCAAACACTAAGTCTGTTTGATTGCGACTTGAAAGTTCACTGCATTCCCCCATATAAACGGTGCAGAGTGATGAGCAGTGATGGTGTTCAGACCATATGCATGTTCGCAAGCCATTTAAATTGTATAGTGCCTTTTAAGTGCGAATCACGGTCTTAAACTTTATCCACTATTTGCACCTTTCCTCTCTCCGCCAGGCGTTTTGGGGGGTGGGAGTGGGGGGCTGGGGGGGGGAAGAAGAAACAAAAATATACTTAACCAGTAATACAGTTATTGCACTTTTCTCACTGCTTCAGGCGAATACTTAGGCAATGCAAACACACGAAAATAATAATTAATTCATGATCTACGGGACAGCTCTAGTGCTTTCTCTCGAGTGGCTCAGTCAGTGGCAGTAGTAGAGTAATAAAAACCAAGTGTTTTCAAACTGATGTGCTGCTGCCCAGTGCTTGTGAGTGTATTGGTGTTTGGTGGTGGTGGTGATGCACCTTTTGCAGACTCCCTCTTCTTACTTGGCGGAAACCCTGCCAAATGCCTCTTGTCCCCCCCACCCCCCCTCTCCCACACCCCCCCCCTCTCCCACACCCCCCCCCCTTCCCCTCTCCAAATTAAACAATAAAGGTTCAAATCCGTACATTTATATTTTTATTGGGATTTGCAGTGAATCATCATCATCCTCTTTTTTTTCACATCTTCTTCTGAGAACAACATTGAAATATGAAAGAGAGAGAGAGAGAGAGAACAACCCCCACACCCCCCCCCCCCCCCCAACACACACACCCCCACACACTCCAATGGTGCTATTTAAGTTCTTGTAACTTGTGCTGTGGCAGAGAGAAAAAGAGAGAGAAAGAGAGAGAAAGAGTGGAGAGAAGAGGAGAGGAGAGAGGAAGAAAGAGAAAGAGAGAGAGTGGAGAGGAGAAGAGAGAAGAGGAGAGGAGAGAGGAAAGTGCCCCCAATAGCAAACAGTTGAGGGATTTTTTTTTGGAATGAATGAATGAATGAATGAATGAAGTGTTGAGAGAGCTCAGGGTCTAAATCGACGGCTCGGGGATGGGTTGGTTCGGCCTGCGGGGGGGGGTGTGTGTGTGTGTGTGGAGGGGGAGAGGGGGAGCTGTCGATCGGCGATGGATTGATCGGGTCTGTTTAAACATGGCGGCCTCCAGGTGGCGGCGGCTCCTCAGCGCTTAAAACGCTCAGGTATTGGAATGTGGGAACACAGGGCCCGCGGCCCCCCCTCTGCCTCCCCCCCCTCCTCCTCCCCCCCCCCTCCCCCCCCTCCTCACCCTCTCCCCCCCACTCCCCTCTCCCTCCCCCTCCCTCTCTCTCTACCCTCACTCCCTTCTCCCCCCCCCTCTCTCCCTCCACTCCCTTCTCCCCTCCTCCCTCTCTCCTCTCCCCCCCTCCACCCTCTCCCCCCCCCTCACTCCCTTCTCCCCCCTCTCTCTCTACCCTCACTCCCTTCCCCCCCCTCTCTCTCCCCCTCTCTTTCTCTCCCTCTCCCCCTCCACTCCCTCTCCCCCTCCACTCCCTCTCCCCCCTCCCCCCCTCACTCCCTTCTCCCCCCTCTCTCTCTCTCCCTCTCCCCCCCCTCTCTCTCCCCCTCTCTCTCTCTCTCCCCCTCCCCCCCTCTCTCTCTCCCCCCTCCTCCCTCTCCCCCCTCCTCCCTCTCTCCCCCTCTCCTCTCCCCCTCTCTCCCTCTCCCCCCCTCTCTCTCTCCCTCTCCCCCCCCCTCTCTCCCCCCCCCCTCTCTCCCCCCCCCCCCCGGGGGTGGGGGTGGGGGGCGGTCGCTGTTCGGCCTCTTATCCGATCCGGGTTTTTAGTCGTTTTATTTTTTTTGTTTAAGTTATTTCACGCGTTGTTTGGGGTCGAATTTCACAACCGGTGTCGGTGTCGGTGTTGGCGGCGGCTCAGGAGGCCCTGAGGAGGGGAGAGGCGCGGAGCTGCTGCTGGTGGTGGTGGTGGTGTCCGGGCTCTCGGGGCTGTCACTAGCACTAGGCCCTGGGATCGATCATCCGTCGTCTCTCCCCCCCCCCCCCCACCCACTCTCTCTCCCTCTCTCCTGTCAGGTCCAACAACAACAACAACAACTTGTATTTATCTATAACGCCCTTCATGTTTTTTTTTGAGTGGTGGGGGGAGTGGGGGGATAGTCGGGGAACGCCCCTGAGCGCTTTTGACCCTCCCTCCCAGGGCTGAACCTGTGAGCTCTGCCCTCTTACCTCGAGCAGCTCATCATCATCATCATCATCATCATAATAAATGATTAATAATAATGACAGTCGTAATAATCCTTCTATTTGGATCCGGCGCCTTTCACGTCAGGGAGGACGCCTCAGAGCGCTTCACCTGCTTTATTGCTAAGTGAACAGCGTTGTGACTGCACTGTATTTTGCGGGCGGACCCTTTCAAGTTGACTCGGTCATGCTTTATCGGAAAGGGGTGGGCGGGTGTCTGGGGGGAGAGAGCGGATTTTATAGAAAAGTGAATTAGCGCCTGTGTCCTGTACAGGGGACGTAGGCAACAACTGGGCACCGGGAACGTTTGAATCAGATTTCAGTGACACAGACCAAATTCAACCCCTTCGCCGTAAGGTACCGATGGTTTATTGACCGGATGGTGAAGAGTGACTTCCAACAGTTTTTGAACTATTAAAATAACGAGTAACTGCATACGTTGCACAATCCGGTACGCACTTTCGATCCCCGATGGTGAGGTCTTTGCAGCAGAAAAAATATTTGTGGTGTTCAGTCATTCCTCATGTAGGAGTCCTGTAGCTCAGTGGTTAGAGCACTCGCTTTGCAAGTGAGAGACCTGAGTTCAATTCCAGGCAGAGGGCGAAACCTTGGGCAAGTTTCCTTACTCCACACAGAGCCTAATAATGATCCCTCCAAAATAAAACAATAATAAATTGGTCATTTTCAATCCCCGACTGTTTGTGGGACATTGCTGTGCGCCATTGGCTGCCGCGTTCGCCCACAAATATACAGTCAATTCACTTTACAGTATATTCTGTGAAGCGCTCAGGGTCGTCCTCCCGACGTGAAAAGCGCTATATCAAATGCAAGGATTATTATTATTATTATGTAGTGGGATCCACAATTAAACTTCATTACCTTTTAGGGCACTGCGGGATCTCGGCGCTCGTTTTGAATTCATGTTCACATCAGCAAAAACTAAACTCTGGTGTTTCGAATGCTTTTTGAATGGATCCACATATATGTTGATAAACAATGAGATGTTGTTTACAACATAGCAGCTGTGTATATGTAATAACAGATGTAGGAAAGATGCAACCTTGCTTCTTTATAGTGAAAAAAAAGTGGTGGGTCGGCATTTTAAGAAAAACATGTGTGTTGGTAATTTGTGTTGGTGTCAGTATTACCACGGGGTTAGAAAAAGGTTCATAGGAGCCTTGAGTCTTGGGCATCAATAATGGTTGCCATTTTTTCCTTTTGAATACCCAGTGTCAAAAACAAGGTCAACCAGGTCAGATATAACATATAGTTTGACTTTATGCTGTTTTATTCCCATCTAATTTCAGCGAAAATACATTATAAATTGAGTTTAATTGTCAACAAATGAAATTTAAGCCTCCTTCCCCAAACTGTGTCTAGATGATGATACTGGAATGTTTTTGATATAAATTAGATTTTACTGCGGTTGATTGCGAAAACCATTTAAAATAATTTTAAATGTTGCTGAATGATCCATTTGAGTGCCATTAAGGTATTAATGCTCTGAAAGAGCAGATCACATTTTTGGCTCATTTAATATAGTCCTTTTTAAATAATTTTACAAAGTTTACCAAATCTGGTGCAGGTTAAACTGCTTTTAAACTTTTAGAACAAGTTGCATTTTGATCTGTAATGACATTTCTTTTAGTGCAACAAATTCTGCAAAACTGAGGTGCCAATGAACCCAAGAACAAACCAGAATGATCTTTTTGTCCAGCTCAATATATTCTTAGATATGCGAAATTGTACGCAGCTGGATCAGCTGGCTAAACAGATATGTTTAACATGTTATTTTTTGCTTTCTAGGACACTTGGGAAGAAATTATTTTGACGCTTGCCTTCGATTACAGGTTAGTGAAAACAGTTGTAGGTGTGTCGAAATAAGGTAGTGTACCACATTTTCTGAAATGTGAGGAACATCTAATGCACAGTAACTGGTACTTCTTTCAGTTTTATGTGCGATCCATCAACTTTTAATTCTAAAAAATGTGCTGTCATTAAAAAAAAATCACATGCAATATTTTCATGAATACGTTTGCTTTCATATAGGGCCATTTACGTTAAAAAAAAGTCTGTAAATATTGAGGGTATCACCTGAAGTCTGGTTGCTGCAGGGTGATGTCAGATTCTTGCCCTGAAAATGTAATGACTCAATGAAGACAATCAGGAAGGTCGATCCCCAGTTGCCAGGGTGAATAGGTTCCAGTTTTACCATATTTGTCTTGTTTGGGATTCAAGCCTGTTCCGAAAGAGAAACATAATGGAGGAGAAGCCAGCATTGGGAGTTGTGGATGCAGAAGATTTGGAAACCTGAGAAGTAGCACCAAAACATCAAATCAATAGGAAGTAGACTGGTTTGGGCTGGTCAAGCTATTTTAGGATGATTTGAAATTCTAGAGAAATCAAAGCAGCAGGATGAGCACAGTGTAAGTCAGTAAGAGTGTGGGAAAGGATACTTTGCGTGGTGGATATCATACTGAGAACNAAAAAAAGAGTGCAAATTTGACAAGCTTGAGTGAAAATGATTCAAAATTTCCATTGTTCCCTTCAAAACATATTTATGACTATATTTTAAAAAAAAGAATAACTGTGTGGTATGGTACTTGTTCAGCCAGCTGTACTATATTTGGCAATGGTGAAATTATTCAGGTCAGGTGGTATATAGTAAGGTTTTCAGCCATCCTTGAAGTAATACTGGGAACAGGCAAATTTGTTCCAGGTCTCATCTTTCTAATTTTTTTACATAAAGTTGTTTATAGTTTATTTAGGGACCCCTTTTTATGGCTATTTTTACTCATCAGTTTGGTTGGGTGTTGCAAGTATCAATGACTGGTGAGATCGCAGTGAGATATTGTGTTCCACTATAGGCAGCTTGGCTTAAGTTTTGTCATGAGTAGTTGGAAATAAATTCCAGAAGATTAATCAGAGTTGTGCCTCGAGTTAAAGTCAACATCATGCAGAGAGGCTGCAGAACTGAAATGGACATTCTTTGGAAAAAGAGGAAGCGGTGACATGATCCAGCACTTTAAAATGATGCAGGTTGATGTAAGCCAAAACATCAGATCTAGAGTATGGGTTAAAAGTTAAAAGACCTTAAGCGGGATTAAAAGTTAGAATTGTGCATTCCCCCACCCACAATATTTTCTGTTGTCTTAAGTGGTGTCGTGACTTTTTATGACAATTCTTGCATCCCTTTTTTGTTCCCTCACAACACACACAATTTCTCAGAAATAAGACAATCAACTATCTTCTTCTTTGAGGTGCAGAAGAATGTGATAGGATGACTGTGGTTTGTTTTTCACATATATGTGGTTAAGTTTGTCCTCATGACCTCAGCGTAGGGTTAATCATGGATAAACCTCCTGTCCTGCTTTTCAAGGCAATAGGTATTGAACAATCAGCACCGCTGCCAAATACCTGTAGCACTGCATTACAATGTGCCATAAATCACATTACGGTACACTTTTTTTAAAAGACTGTTAACTTACAATACAGTAAAGTATTGATAAAACATGAAACTGAAGTTCAGTGCATTCCTGATTCAACAGAGTATTTTATTTTCTATTCTGTGTGTTGGGGGGAGGGGGGGCTTGTAGAGGAAAACAGGATCTTCTCTGGGCTGACTTGGCTACAAGGTGGTATGATTGGGATTGCCAATGGAATAATTTTAACAGCAACCCAACACACATTGGAGTTCCCAAGGCTTTGCCAAGCTGCACCTCATACTTTTGGAATTAGGTAAGACATGTCCCGCGAGGGAGAGAGTGCGCATTCCATTCCAGATAAATTTCCATATGTGGAACTCTGTCTGCTTTGGATATTCTTAAGCGTGGTGATGGAGTTCTGCTTGTGTCAGATATCCTGCTGACCAGAAAGACCTAGAATAGTTTCCTTGCTTTGCAATATTTTGTATGTTAAGGTAATCTTGTCTTACTATTAAAAGTATTTGAATGTGAGACCATTATATTTTAAACCCCATATACGAATGCTGCATTTTGAATGTCGGGGCATATTCCTGAGCCAAATGACTGAAGCTCTAATCTGAACACTGATGATCAAGACCTTTTATTGAGCAAGTCAGACAGTTATACATCCTATATTGTTCATTCCTGGCTAAACTCCTGACAGTACACATTGCTTTAGTCAAATTTGAATGGGCATCGGCTTTGCACGTTTCAGATCTTTGTTTGGATTTGAATAAAAATAAATCGCAATGTGTGGTATGATTAAAAAAAAATCTCGCCGTTATATCCTTCACAGAAGTTATAGCTGGATATAAAAGTGCTGCTGGATATTTGAAGAAATGGGTTTAGGTTTTCTCAGTAGACCCCTCCCCCACCCTATCCCTATTTCTCATGAAATAGATGGATGGTAAGATTTGAGTTGACTGACTGGCTTTGGCAGCTAGAAAATTAAAATGCATGTCCTGCTTTTGCAATATCTGCAGTAGACCCAGATAGGAAACCTATAGCTGATAGTTGAAAGACGGTTATTCAGGTGGAAAAATAATTTAATATACTGCGTCATTCCTATTTTAGTAAATGTTTATTTTATCGATTGTGGTTATTCTGCTTAAAATGGGTTTGTCTGTAAAGTGTGCAAAGATGTACAAAGATGATTGTCTTATTGTACCTTCCTTTACACTACGGTAGGGTATATTGATTGGGAAAACAACTTGAACTTCTATAGGGTCTTTCATGTCCCAGCGCCTTGGGAATGTCCTCCCAACATGAAAGACGTGATATAAATGTAAATTTGATTGATATGTAGGAAAATGTCCCGAAATCTGAGCAAAGTGGGAAATGTGGTGGGGGGTGGGGGGGAGACACACACACACGTGCACGTGGTTATAGGAGTAACTGAAGGTGTGGTTGAAGAGGAGGGTTTTGAGTAGAGAGTTAGCGTGCAATGTGGAGGGATTTTAGATTTTGGGAGAGAGGTCAGGATAGCAGAAGCATAGTAGCTAATATCAATTACTGTTATAAACTGGTTTCTTTGGGTTAATGCCTTTTACAAGTAACTCATAGTGAATAAGGTTACTTCAGGAGTTTAAAACATTTTAGGGAGTATTGATACAGAATTTGGGAGATTAGATAGATCAGAGGAGTTTGAGATGGAATGGATTATTTGTGCTCTGTGGAGAGAGAAAGTTTGATGGGCCGAAAGCCTTGTATCATTCCCTCCATGCTTACATTTTTATGATTTGAAATAGAGTTCGTAATTGAAAATTATGACAACAGGAATGTAGCATTTGACAATGTCATGAGCAACTAGCATTTTTAATTCACCTTCAAACCTATTGCAGCACTAAAACAAAAACTTAATGAATCGATATTTGCTTGTGAATAATCTTGTTCCAAATACAGAATATATTGATTTATCTGAAACCTCAAAAAGTTAGTTACAAATATGTGATTAAAAATTATACGAGCACAGGGGCAGAGTTCTGGTTGAGAGGGAGCCCAGCACAGTTGCTGAACTATCGATGCCATCAAAATTCTCCTTCTATTTGCAGTCCACTTTTACATCTATTTATGGAATGTAGATCTGTCAATACCTCTTAGACTTTTCTTTTCCTACTATCTGTACAACTATACTATTCTAATATCCATTCTTGATTTTGTTTTCCCCAAGCTTAAGTTCATATTTCCAAATTGTTTTCAAGTTTAGGTTGGGTGAACTATTATCCATGTAATTTGCACATAATAGTATATGTGACAGGTGATAGGCGCTATGCCCTCACTAAGTATTTAGCATTAGTTGGTATTAAAAATCTGTTAATGATTATGAAAGATTACAAATTCAAATTGCAGTAAAGGACAGGCTTTAATGAGATCAAATTTGCTTTCTTGTTACAGCATTTCTTTCTCTAATAGGCACTTTAGTGTTAATTTCACTGCTGATTAGGTTTAAGTGGTTGTTTTTTTTCCCTTTGGATAAATTAAACAGATATCCGAAACATCAACAGAACTCCAAAATTGCAGCTAAATCTAACAATTACTATTCTTCCTAATCTTTGTCTTTTATCATTTTTTTAGCAGTTTTGGAAGAGGGTCTTGATGAAAAATGGGCCATTATTCATCTGACAGTGAAGATGACAGTAGAAGCCGGCGGAAAAAGAAATACCGGCGGAGATCAACATCCAGCAGTTCTTCAGGCAGCAGAACATCGAGTCGTAAAAAATCTAGCAGAAAGTCACGTACTCGCTCTCGTGATCGCCACTCCCCTTCGCGCTCCAAAGACAGAAGGTGAGGTTTGTTGTAAAATATCTGCTGCAGAGCTGCACCTGAGAACCTGACTGTGACCAGCGTAAGAACCCGCAACATATCATGTATGAAACTTAGGTGTGAAAGTTTGACAGTGATATTGAATTAACAGTGAAACAAAAGATTCCTGGATCTTTAAATTGTACTTGTGTAAATCACACTTTTGTGAATTCATCACTTGATAGAGTTTTGAATTCAGAGCAAAGATGATTCAAGTTCAAACTTAAATTGTGTTACAGCTAATAACAACCACGTCACTTGTACTTTGTGTGCGTGCTCAGCTCAGCCTTTTTTTTCTTTGCAGCGACATAATTTTATTTCTAAAACGAAGGAGTAGATGGGAGGGGTGGGGGTGAGGAGGGAAAGATAGGGGTTAATTAAAGAATAATGTAGCAGATTCCTCGTATTGCCTCGTTCAGTCTGCAAGGGAAAAAAAAGACCTTGTGTCAGTGACAATAACGGGGATATCACTCCAATATGATGCAGTTTTCCTCAGAGAAACATTCAAGATGAACCATTTTGCAATAAAACGCTAGAAAATGAAGTCGTCACTTTTTGGAGTGATGGCTGGTACAATTTTGAGGAGACTGTGGTAACATTGCTCATTTAGAGGTGGTTGCGAGCACTTGAATCTGACTGGAGTGAGAAGGAAATGATGATAAAGTGTGTATGTACATGAACAGTCAGTGCTAAAAAAGTGCTAATAGGTGGGAATTGACAATAAAAGGATGGTATCAGATTAAAAAGTAAATGGGGACCTATTGGAAAGAAATGGGACTTCAGAAAAAGTGCAATAAGTGGAAAGTGACAAACCAGATGTCAATAAGTGGAATCACTGTAAAACAATATAGACTCAATAGAATTTTTGTTTTTTGACGATATTATGGCAGGACTGCAACAATATCGTTTGCACTAACCAATAACGTAGGAACACTTGGAAAAAGAATTTGTGAGGATGAACGTTTCAAAAAGAATAACAGAATTCGGAAAAGATCTTTGAACACCATATTGCATTCGAAGAAAGGAAAATATTTGCAATAATACATCTGGACTGAACGAAGAAAAAACGTTCTCGCTTTATATAAAACACGGTTGGCGAATTTGATTTTTGTGGGCTGGAAAGGTGACCACCTACTGATTCTATGCAGGAACATTTTGAGCTGTTGATGATAAAGGTGTCATATTTGGTGCATCCTCAGGACTGTGTTTTAAGATAGATGTGCGTTTTTTGGTAGTACTCTCTATAATGTATACTTTTTGTCTGTTGGTCATAATAAAAGGAATAGAAATAGCAAGTGATGAATTTCGGCATATCAATGCATCTTGAAGTAATATCCGTGCAGTGAAACTTCTCACAGATTGGTCCATCTGAAATCTGATCTAACCTACCTGACAGCCCTAAGACCTAAACCTGTGACCGACCATGTTCATTTTTTTTTATTTCCTCTGCATTTCTCTGCCTTGTTCCCTTACTGATTTTTGAGGTTTTCTGATTCAGTTACAGTTGAAGCCGACTGCGAAATTACAGGGCTTTTAGCGAGGATTAATTTATCGAATTTATTGAATTCAGACGCAGACGGCACTCCAGCAGCAGCTCATCGTACGAGGTCCGAAAGAAGCGAAGTAGTCGGAGTAGATCGCGGGATAGAGGGAAGTCTTACAGATCTCGGCGATCCAGGTCGAGAAGTAGAAACAGAAGGTAAGCACAGTCTTTAAGAGGATCCAAGGCTTTTTAGTCACAAAAGCCTGTCCTTTTTCACAAATTTATTTTGTGCTTCAAAGCTCAAAACAGTGGAGTACAGTTTCAAGGGTTTTAACCAAAGTAGATATTCTTCAGGTGTGAGTCTGGTTCGTGAATGTCAACAGTCTGTTTCACTGTGAGCCCAACCCAATCCATACCTGATGTGCACACATGTATGCTTCTGCTGCCAGGTATTAGGGTAGGAATCTTTCCTATATTTCCCCACTGGGTATATTGAAACCAATTTTGCGCCAGTGTTCACATCAACTAACTGAGCCTGCAATCTTCCCGGTCTTTATGGTTCGATAACGGTATATTTATCCATTGAGTGTTTTTGTAACAATAGATTCTCCTGGTGAGTCCAATTTGTTTCGACTCTATTGTATTTGCACAAAGAGGTAAAAAAGTGTGTTTATCAAAGCTCAGGAGCTGAAGTCAGACTAACTGGGGAAAAAAAAATTAACAGTTCCGTAGGATATTATGGAAATTTATGCTGTTAAATATTTATAAAATGTAACCTTGTTCTGACCTAGACATTCTGGTGCAAGCAGTGCTATTTAAGTGCTTTATGTAGAAGGGAAAAATTATGCAGACAGTTGTGGGGTCACATCGGTTTGAAAATCAGGTGACATCATGTAAAGAGCCAACAACATCTTTTAATACGATTCTCTTGCCTCATTTTAGTCCAAATAACATGAGGTTGTCGATTCGCAAATACAAATGATCTGAGTAACCTGCAAGTTAAAGCAGAGTATTGCCTCCCAGTAACTGTATAGAAATAATAAATGCAGGTTAATTATAATCTGCCAAATGTTTAGTTCCCATTTATATCTTTAGGCATTAATACAAATACCAACTATTACATAGATCTCTCTGGGGGAGAAGGGCTATCTTTAAAGAATTGCATTATACTCCTGAAGTAACTCAGGGACCGTTTTTTTTTGTGGAGAAATTTGATTAAAGAGCATAAAGAGAAACCATGCTGCACGTTCCACATGCAGACGCAACTGTCAGAGTTCCGTGCTAAGGAATGGTTTCAATAATGAAAACAAATTCCCCCTTTTTGCCTCTTTAAGAGGAATCAAAGATCCTGCGGAAAATCCTGCAGTCAAGTGAGAGTACAGCATTTCTCCAGTCAGTGATAGCATCAATTCTCCTAATCGCTTACGCAAATGTCTCAAATAACTGATGCTGGCCTTTTGCACGAGACAAAGACCAATATAAGTGGATGACATTTTAATTAAATTTTTGTAAAAATTGATGTTCCTCATTTTCTGTAGTTTTCTCTCCCTCAACACGCCATTCCCTCGTCAAAAGGACAGATGTGCAAGTGACCCGTTTTCAGTGCTCTTCTCGTGTCATTGTGTAGCTAGCCACCGGCATGCACAAGAGTGGTGCAGTGTTATTCACGCTTTCAATTCCTTTCTTAGGAAACCTCACGACTTGTTTAGTACCTACTTCAAAGTGGTTGGTTTGTATCAGCAATTCTGTGCTCAGAGGTGCAGGAATAAACTTGTGTCTTACCATTAACTGCTTTTGTTCTAACGGCAGACGTGCTAATCGGCCAACCTTGTTAGAAAATAATTTTAAAGTGAACCAATATGGGTTATTGTACTATATAATAAAATTCATCATTTTTATCTTAACATAATTTTCTAATTTGAGTTTTATCCATTCTTTGTAACAGGGTACTGTATTCTTGAAGGCTACATCCTTCAGATAAGACATTAAACCAAGGTCTTGCTTGACTGTTCAGATTAATGTTGAAAAGGAAAAAGGATGTGTAAAAATATTGCCAATTTAAAAAAATTCTTATTGAACTTTATCAGACCAGAAAGTTAATTTATTACTCTGCAGAGTTTAGATTGGTTATTTAGTTCAGTATTCAAACTAAATCCTAGAATTGTTGCTAGAGTTTGCATTCCCATATTGCATTCTACTATAGAGGAGCCCCTTAAGATGCAATACAAAATCCATGTACAGAATAATTAAAATTTACTGCAGGCTCACACTTCTATGAAGTACCACCCCCAAAATAAACTTTGTTTTAAAAGTCAAATTCCTCTCTTTTGATTCCAGTATGTAACAATAATCCATTAAATCTGTCCATTAAAAATTATATATGTACATTAAATTTGGACATGTAAAATTTGACGTTTTGAACCCATGAATATATGCCCCATGTTAAAACGAGAATGTAGATATTCACCTAAAGATCGGTGCACACAAGAAGAAAATGGAATTGCTGGTTTCTAAAAGTATACAAGATAAAACTTTAATGTCTATGGGTCATTGCATGTCAGTTTTACAGAAAAAAAGGTTTAAAACATTTTATAATCTGGGACAAAATGTCTCGTCTGCTTTGAAAATGTGGTGCAGTGAAATATTTACAAATTAGTTAGCAATATATATATTCTTTCCCCCTTAGTAATAAAAATTCATGCAAGAGCTATTTGGATCAAATTTAGTTTTAGCATCAACTGCTGCACTGGTCAATAATAATTGGTCATCAGAAAGGGTGTGTTCTTTTTGCTTAGCAAATTCTTTAGCTCTAGTGTGTTAGGTATGGTATTCCCAAGAGGTTTTCAGCCTATGTGTTCGATTCCCCAGTAATGATGTTAAAACGGTCACATATAACATTGTATCTGCCAGAGCCCTTGTTATCATGTTCTGTTATCTTGTACAAAAAACATAACTAAGTGCTTGTGCGCAGTGTTAATGATGAGACTACTAATTTCCTGGACCAAGAATGCTAAGAAACAACTTAGTTTCACAGGTTCATTGATTCATTCCTTCAATGACTTCTTTGTACATCTCTCCAAAATAGATGACTTTATATTTGAAACTGTGGAAATTAAGTCTGAATATATTTTAAGATGCGTAGCACGTTTTGTGTTGTTTAAAGTAATTTTTATGTTTTCCTTTGAGCAATGTCAACCAGCTCAGTTGGTTGAGCACCAGACATGGGTCTTGGACGTGTAGACAGATTGTCAACCCTTTCACTGATGCCCTAATGATACGATGGTCCATGTTTTGCATTCACCATCCCAGAACAATGCCTCTTCTTTTATATAAGATATATTCTCATAATACTTTAGTACCGTGTTAAGCTTGTGTAACTGAATGATGCAAATTATTTTAATAGCTTATGAGAGGAGAAATGTCAGCTCAACTCTATTTAAATGATTAGGTATGACGCCTGCATGCATTTGCCTTTCATAAAACTTTTTATGCAATTATTTTGCAATAATACAATGGAAATGCTTAACCTGGTGTCACTGTCACATGTTCAAACACATCTTGAACAAACTTCAACTTTATTTGCTTTATTTGGTTGAAGCGCACGTTAAGGAAAGAGAACCTCAATGAATCTCAATTAGTATACTCCGTGATAAAAATAAAACCGATTCAAATTTGGCAGATTTGTAGAGTGGTTGAGCCTGCATTACATTCTTTGTACTTTGACAGTCGATCTTAGAAATTTAGGAATGGGAGCAAAGGGCAAAGGTTAGTTTAGAAAACTGTGTACATTTGAACATAGAGAAATATTTCAGCATGACAAAGTTTAATAAATCATCCCATTTCCTAATTTGATCATATTAGATGCTGATGTGGAAGAAGCGTTTCAAATAGCAGGTCCTCATTAATATACATCAGTCTGGGGAATAGAATGCAATACTTATGCAGGGATGTCATAGTTGCTGTTTCTTAGTTTACTAAGTGGAACAGGTTGATGTGATACTGGGTGTTATTTGTCACTGTCGCATTAAAATGGTATGGGTCGAGTTATGGAGTCCAGAAAGACATCTGCTGATAAATCAAAACTGGATTGAGTGGACAGGAGGCAGTGATTGATACTCTGACAGGATATGAAGAAAAGAATCTTGATATAAGGATGCAAGATATTGAAAATGAGAGGAAAATGGCCCTGGAGTATGGATATTATTCAAAGAAATGAGAATAATAACACTGGCATGAAAATATTGCTGAGAGAATTAGGATAGTAATTATTTGGATATCGCATACTTAGCTATAATGGAAGATGTTTGAAGTGCTTTCCATGAAGAATTTTTTGGGAATAAATAAATCACTCCCAATATTTTTATTCAAAAAGTATTGAATGCAATACCATATAGTTTTAACTTGTCATTTGCATATTTTATCCAACACATTCACAGCTGACAAGTAACTCAGTGTTTTTCTGTTTTTAAAAAAAGTAATTTGTGTTGAATACTGATTATTAAACTTTTTTTGAAAAAAAACTTTGTTCCACAGAAGTGTTCAAATTGATAACTAAAGCCTATTTTTTGTGTAATGGAATTTAAAATGATTAAAATGAGAGCACTGTATTACTGAAGGCAATCTGTTTTTAAAGAGGACATCAAAGATTGTATAAAACGGGTGATTTTCAATAGTGAGAGTTAATGAAGTCTGGGTGATTTACATCTTTTAATGGTTCGGAAATTTTTAAAAGGGTTTCTACTTTTTTTCTGAAAATGAATGTGACATGAAGCACCTTTTTCAATAGCAGACAAATAATATGGATGTGGAGCACTAAAGGAGAGAAATTTGCTTCACTCATTGTTATAATTTGGTGTAAGAAACAGTTTATTTGTTGCAAGTTTGTGATGTAATGGATTAAGCATTTAGGCTATTAGCTAACAGCATTTTTTAAAAAGAGGATGTAAAAGATGCATAAAGTGTCAATATGCTGAATCCCTGGTTTTGTTGACCTATTGATTGATGTCTGTTTCTTCATGGCTGTAACATATAGTGTGGCAGATCATTGGTTTTGTAAGCGGAACAGATCCTATTGCAATTGTTTGAAGTTCTAGTCTTTAAGCAGGTTACTATTTCATGAGTTTTGCATATATATGGATGAATAATGTAGCTTGAACCATGGATTTGTAAACCTTGGGATATATATATGTGTTGTGACAAATCTATTCATGTCATAA